GTTTCCTGCTGGTACCCAGTGGAGCCTCCGGCGGCCAGTCTACGGTCTCCGTCAGGCACCTTGTGAGTGGCACGACACACTGAGGACGACTCTTGCTGCTCTTGGGTTTGCTCCTTCCACTGCTGACCCGTCGCTGTTTCTACGCACCGACACCATTCTGCCACCGTTCTACGTTCTCGTGTACATAGACGACTTGGTCTTTGCTACTGCTGACACTGAGGCACTCGCCCACGTGAAGTCCGAGCTGCAGAAGAGACACACATGCACAGACTTGGGTGAGCTGACAAGCTATCTTGGCTTGCGGATCACCCGGGACAGAGCACAGCGCACCATTACCTTGACTCAGTCACACATGGTGCAGCAGGTCCTTTAGCGCTTCGGCTTCACGTACTCCTCGCCACAGTCCACTCCTCTGCCTACCGGTCACTCGCTCTTAGCTCCACCTTCGGACGAGTCCGTAGAGCCGAGTGGCCCGTATCCAGAGCTTGTGGGCTGCCTCATACCTGATGACATGCACTCGACCTGACCTTGCCTACCCTCTTAGCATTCTAGCACGCTATTTTGCTCCTGGCAGACACAAGAAGGAGCACATGGATGCAGCTAAGAGGGTGTTGCGCTACTTGTGCAGTACGTCGGGCATGGGGCTCGTGCTTGGAGGACGGGCTCGAGATGTCCTCACTGGTCACGCAGACGCTTCCTGGGCTGACGAATTGACTACGCAGCGGTCGTCACAGGGTTACACATTCAGCCTTGGCTCCGGCTCTGTCTCTTGGCGGTCTACCCGCTCGTCTTCTGTTCTCAGCTCCAGTTGTGAGGCTGAGATCTACGCAGGGGCCATGGCTGCACAGGAGTTACGCTGGCTCACCTACCTGCTGACCGACCTGGGAGAGCCGCCTCGTTCTCCTCCAGTGCTGTACGTCGACAACAAGGCCATGATTGCCTTTTGTCAGGAGCACAGACTGGAGCACAGAACGAAGCACATCGCTCTGCGCTTTTTCCTTGCTCGAGAGTTGCAGCAGCGTGGCCACTCGGGCCAACACTGCTGATTTTTCACCAAGGCACTTCAGCCTTGTGATCATCAGCGTTTCTGTACTGTTCTAGGCCTTGTACCTACTGTGCCTCACTTGCTTACTTCTTGACTCTGCTTGTACTGTGATCTCTATACATATACGTGCATGCTTACACTTGCTAGGTTGTGTTCACTGTATTGCCTGTTCTCCTTTATATAACTTTGCATGTGAACTGGCCTTGTGGCCATTTGCTTGTGCTCAGAATGCGTGGTGACGTCGTGATCCACCCTGAGCTTGCTTTGCCTTTCTTGACCGGTCTTGTGACCTCTTGTTCTCCCCCACTTTGCCTATGGGGGTGTGTCAAACTTATATGCTATAGTCTGTCTAGGCTGTAGTGGGGTAGTTCATATAGGGTACAACACTTTTAGGTTTCCTACTTGTACCCACCTGCTTGCTAGTTCAGTCATTCCTTCCTTCACCATTCTGACATTGTTCTCCCCCACTTTGCCTATGGGGGTGTGTTAGAACATTATAGCTTATACATTTGTGTAGGCTGTAGTGGGGTAGCCCATAAGGGGTACAACCCAATTAGGGTTAGTACTTGTACCCAACTGTTTGCTAGTTCTTTCATTCTCGTTCGTTATTCTGATACGTCGAGCAATCGCACGGATCCATCAAAGACCCTAACCAAGTCTGTCAGCTACTGAAGTCGCTGTACGGAATCAAACAAGCTCCGCGACTATGGCAACAGTACCTGCACATCCGACTAATTCGCATCGGCTTCCAGCAACTACCACACGATCAAGGGATGTACAGACTCACAAAGGCAGCAGAGTACATCCTGCTCATCGTCTACGTAGACGACCTACTCTACATAGGCTCCACCGTCTACGTAGACGACCTACTCTACATAGGCTCCACCGACGGCATCACCACCTGGTTCGAAGGGGAGCTGCAACAGGATCTCTCACTCACAGTCTCCCCTACCGAGACCCAATACCTGGTGCTCAACATACTTGACATAGAGAACGCGATATACCTCAGCGCCGCAAAATACGCCGCCACCATCGCAAAACGCTTCGGACTAACGTCAGCCACCATTTCCGTGCCCTATCGCTACACTGTGGGAAACCACCAGGGAGAATCTAATCTGCTCGGACCTGCCGGCCTACGCGACTACCAGCGGAAACTGGGATGTATGCACTTCGTAGCTGTCACATGTCGACCGGATCTGTCATACTCGGCGAGCCAAATCGCTACCTACCTCAAAATGCCTGAAGCATAACATATGGCAGAACTCGATCGCGCACTGCACTACTTTGTCAGCACACCAGCAACCGGCCTAACCTATCACAAAACTGCAACCACAACTCCAAAGCTAATCGGCTACGTGGATGCCGACCACGCAGGCGACTCCGACAACATACGATCACCCACCGGCTACATCTATCGACTTGAGCCCGTCGGTCCTATCTCGTGGCGGTCGAGCAAGCAAAAGCTAATTGCTCTCTCTTTTGCCGAAGCAGAATACATTGTCAGAATATATTTTATATTTATTTTTGTATAACTGCATGTAGTTCTAGCTCTAGTGTAGTTACTGTCATAGTCCCTGTAGGTGGTGCACCCTTTGCCATCTCTCGCCCCTACCGGTATATCTTGTACCTTGTTCTCTTAGTGAAACACCTCTTCCTTTCTACCCTCGACAGTTGCCTAGCAACCAAACACTAGGCACTACTAAGCTCATTCTAACATACATGGCACTCTGCACAGCCACCAAGGAAGGACTGTACCTTCGCGAACTACTCGAAGAAGCAAAGCTGGCCCAGTTACCCAGCTTCTCCCTCTTCTGCGACAACCAATCGGCAATTCGTATAGCGAACCAGAACGGGTTCGCGAACCGAACGAAGCACATCGCCCTGCGATATTTCTTCGTGAAAGACGAGATCGAGAAGGGAAGGCTCGAGCTATCCTACTGTCCCACGTCCGAGATGGCAGCAGATTGCTTGACCAATAAACTTGGAAAGCATAAGTTCGAATACTGCATGTTGCTTACCGGACAAGCCCACGTCACCAGCATCGAAAGTGACGACACTCCAGAAGCGAAGGGGAGTGTTGGAAACATATAGTTCATGCTTCTGACATGTCGAGCACTATAACAAGAACGAAGCAGATCCACAGCAAAGAAAAACCGAGTCAACCAAGCTACATCATCATTAAAACGCCTCCGCTATTACATCATCACCCTGAGCCTTAGTCATTGAAAAGATCTCAAGGGCTTTCTCAGCCCAACAATGGCCACACTGAGTAAGCTAGTGGTGGTAATTTTGCTTCCAGTGGTGGTAATTTTGCTTCCAGTGGTGCTCCATGAATGTGAAGACATCTTGTACCTCTACATCTGGTTTGGAGTGTGTCAGAATTATATTCTTATACCTGCATGTAGTTCTAGCTGTAGTGTAGATATTAACTTTATAGGTGGTGCACCTCTTTGTTTGCTATATGTACCCTAGTGCTATAGTGAACATCATTCCCATTTTCCTCTCTGCTTGGCACAAACAACCTCGACTCCCTTGGCCTAGGCTACTAAGCCTAGGCCCTCACTTGAACCTAGCCTTTTACTTAGCCTCCTATTTCTAACATGGTATTAGAGCCTGTTAAGTCCTGGCCTGTGGGCCAGCCTCACGCTTCCGCCGCTGTTTTTCCGGTCGCGCGCCTCGGGCGCGTGGCGATTTTCGTTCTGTCCCGCGCCCGGGTGGCGCGTGACGTATTTTCTGCCCGTCACGGATCCGCCCCTGGCGCCCGCGACGATGCTCTGCCTGCCTGCCTGCCTGCCTGCCTGCCCGTCGTGCGCCCCGAGGCGCGCGACGGTGCCCTGCCTGCCCGTCGTGCGCCCCGTGGCGCGCGACGGTGCCCTGCCTGAGCCGCCGCGGACCCACCCCTGGCGCCCGCGACGGCGCCCCTGCCTCACATGCGCCTGCACTCGGTGCAGCCGCCCCTGCCCTACCCGCGCCTGCCCTCGGAGCAGCCGCCCCTGCCTCACCCGCGCCTGCCCTCGGAGCAGCCTCCCCTGCCTCACATGCGCCTGCACTCGGTGCAGCCGCCCCTGCCCTTCCCTGTGCGCCACCCCTCTGTGGCCGTGGGGCGCCACCCTCCCCCCCCCCCCCCCCTCCCCCCCCCCTCCTCCTTCTTCTCCCTGCTGCGCATGCAGCCGTGGGGGGGAGGGTATGGAGGTGGCGGGTATGGGGGTGATGGGTGGTGTGTTTCCCTTCCCCTCCTCCTCCTTTCGTTCCCACTGCTGCAGCTGCCGCTGGAGGGAGGGTGTGCGGGTGTGGGGGAGCCAGGGGAGTGGCACTGGGGTGGCGGGTGTGAGACCAACCAGCCGCCCCTCCTGAAGTGGGGGGGGGGGGGGAGGAGAGTAAAGGGGTGGCAGGAGTGCCTGCCCCTTTGCTGCTGTACCTGCTCTGTTGCCTTATCTGCTGTTGCTGTTTTCTCTGCAGGTTGTGTTCTGCACTTAGCTATTCCTGCATGCAGTTACGGGGGGATGTCAGAATTATATTCTTATACCTGCATGTAGTTCTAGCTGTAGTGTAGATATTAACTTTATAGGTGGTGCACCTCTTTGTTTGCTATATGTACCCTAGTGCTATAGTGAACATCATTCCCATTCTCCTCTCTGCTTGGCACAAACAACCTCGACTCCCTTGGCCTATGCTACTAAGCCTAGGCCCTCACTTGAACCTAGCCTTTTACTTAGCCTCCTATTTCGACAGAGTGTAATGTGGGTCATGGTTCATGCAACATGGACCGGAAAATGGGGTACATGCCATGGATTGTGGATGTTATTGAGGAGGTGCGGTATCTGAAGATCATATTTTTTTGTTAAGTGTGGATGACCAATAATATATTTTGTGCTGCTGCAGTGTTGAACAAACAAACCGAACCTTGTTTTTCAGAACGGATGCAGGAGCAAAATGGAAAAAAAATAAAAAAATCCTAATGCGTCCACCCATATGCTAGCCACCCCAGAAACGTGAATCAACTTTACAGACCTTCCCAAACAGACACGCTGCGAGGACATATTCCAAACTAGTCGATCCTCTTATTAGAAAGCCTCCGAGCAGCTCGACGAACAGGCCTTCATCATCAGCGTTGATGGTGCAAATGCGCCACTCCAAAACCCAAACGCGATTCCAGGAACCAGATGCGTTTCCATCTCAAATCCCTAATCCCACTTGTGACCTTTCGCCTTAGCTTCCTTCTCCGAGTTATCCGCGTTCCCTTTCGCCACGTCCGCGCGCGACTTCTTCACCGCCACCACGCGCTCCTGCGCGGCGCGCGCATTAGCCTTGGGCGCCAGCGCCAATTTCGCGTCCCGCTGCGCCTTCACCTTCGCATTGTAATTCTGCCCCGCCGTTTTCACCGCGGTATCCAAGTTCTTCGTCTTTCCGATCGCCTTGGTGAAAAACACGTTCGAATCGGCCTCGTCCTTCTCCGCCTTTTCCTTGACCACCTTCTGATTGTCCGCCGCGCCGCGAGTGTCGGTCTTGTCCTTGTTGGCCTTCTCGCTTTCCGTCTGCCTCTCTGACACTCGCTGAAGAGCGCGGTCGGATTGCTTCTTCACGGCTCCAAGGATACGATCCGCCTGCAGCTTGACGTTATACAATTCCGTCTGAAGCGCCTTGGCCTCTGGGGTTTGGAGGCGAGCCGCTGACCGAGCCGCGGCGACAGCGTCGTTGTAAGCCTCCGTCGAGATTTTCTGCTGCTCGGATAGCACGACCGCGGTGGTGTTCTGGCGGGAAATAGCGTCGAGAACGTCCTTAGCTGATTCGCTCTCTTCGAAGATTGCCTCTTCAGCCTGCGACTCGAGATCGTCGTAGTACGAACGCTCGTCGCGCGAATTCTGCTTCGCCTGAATCAGCGCCTGACGCGCCGTCTCCTGCTCCACTTTCGCAGCCTCGAGCTCAGTGCGCTTATTGTTGAGCTCCGTCGTTGCGGCGGCGACTTCCGCATCCGCAGCCGCCGCCTTTTGTGCGAAAGGCGCTTCTTCCGCGAGCCGCTGCTGAAGAATGGCATTGGCGGCGTCGAGATCCGCTTGCGCGGCGTCGGAAATGCCGCGAAGCTGCTTGGCTTTGGTCACTAGGTACGGCTCAGCAGCGGAAACGAATGGTACGGAGATGGATCCCACAAGAAAAAGAATAGCGACTCCCCGAAGAACGAACCCCATGATTCCGCTCGGACGGGGTTTCGGACCGCCTCGGAAGTTAGACCGATGTGCGCCTGTGTAGCTGTGTCACTTTAGCACCAACTTGCCAAGTTGTCGCGAAGTTCGCGATGCTAGGCGATGAGCGGGGCAGGGGCCGGCGTGCGAGGCGTGTGGGGAGTGTAAAGCGTGAGTGGTACTTAAATTGGTGGAGGTTGTGGAGCTTCTTGCTCAATGCGTTCTTGATGAGTAAACCGAAGAGGCACCGTGAACTTATTTGTCAGAATGCTGAGCAGGTGGGGGTGAGTAGGTGTCCCACCCTCTGGATAAGCAGCTGGAAAGTCTGGCAGCGCGATTGATATGCACTCATGCACCAATTTCCATAAGGATTCCACATGTGAGCCGTGGGCAGGTAAGTCGCGCCGCGCATGTCGCCTTGGTGTACCGCGATTCGACTCCATCCTGGAGAAGCAGGGAATTTTCAAACCCGCCGAAGTGTCCGCAAGAGCGAATCTCTCGGTGACAAGATGAGGGGTCCGATTTTGCTGATGGACAAATTGTGCTTAGCTGGCGTCCCACAGGTGGTTGGGCTCTTATCCATGATCAGCCACAGCGGAACCCGTCTTGCTGCTCGGGTCGCAATTCGTCGCATGTTGTGCCTTATGGGATCCTCATGCAACAATCGGTTACCGTAAATTGACGAAAACATCGTTGAACAAATTGGGATTGTGCTCGTGAGCAACATCTCTGTAAAATGTACTAGGCTGCTAAAAATATGTGATCTATTATGTGCCACATGCATGGTATGAAACATAGCAACTGCTTGTGACTGATAGCATGTGTTGGATGCAGGAAACAAGTCTTTGAGGTACAAAAAAGTGAACTAACATTCAATTTTCCATAGGCACTAGAGCAGCGCCATGCAATTCAAGACTCAGGTTGTCAGAATCCCAACCACTAGAACATTGGGATAAAACGGCTTGTTAAAAAGCGGGTCAGTGCGCACATAACCCCCCATGACAACGAACCTGTAACCCTTCCCTAGGATCAATCGGGGATCACCAGAATAACTCTGCAGGAATGACTGGATTAGCAAGAGTTGGGGTACAAATACTGACCCTAGAAGTATTGTACCCTATAGAGAGTGCCCCACTATAGCCTATAAGTAAGATTGTACTTTGACACACCCCCATAGGCTAAGTGGGGGAAAACAAGACGGTCACAAGACCGGTCAAGCAAGACAACAGAGCAAAGAAAAGCAAAGCTTAGGGTAGATCTCAAGAGCACCACACAATCCGAGCACAAGCAAGCGGCCACAAGGCCAGTTCACATGCAGAGTTATAATAGCAAAGAAGTACACTGATCACAACCTAGCAAGAGTAAACAAGCAGGTATAAAGATATACATCAGTGTACAACAAGAGCAAGTCAAACAACCAGCAGGTGAGGCAGAGTGGGCACAAGCCCAAGAGCAGTGCAGAAACGCTGATGATCTCCAGACCCAAGGGCCTTGGTGAACATATCAGCAGTGTTGGCCCGCGAGGCCACGTAGGAAAGGCAGAGCTGACGATGCTGTTGCAGCTCGTTCTGTGCTCAAATCTTTGCTCGTGACACAAGGCAAGCATTCCCTTGTTGCCAACGTACATAGCTAGAGGAGAACGAAGTCGGTCAGCAGGTAGGTCAGCCAGCGTAGCTCTTGTGCAGCCATAGCCCCAGCGTAGATCTCGGTCTCACAGCTGGAACTAAGCACAGAAGAAGAACGAGTGGACCTCCACGAGACAGAACTAGAGCCAAGACTGAAGGTGTAACCCTGTGACGAACGCTGAGTCGCCTGGTCGTCGGCCCAAGAAGTGTAGGAGTGTCCTGTGAGTACCACTGAACCCAGTCCTCCAAGCACGAGCCCCATGCCCGATGTACTGCACAAGTAACGCAGTACCCTCTTCGTAGCATCCCATTGCACCTTTCGATGTCTATCGGGAGCCATGTAGCGATCCAAGAGGCTGAGAGGGTACGCGAGGTCAGGTCGTGTACACTAGAACGTAGAACGGCGGCAGGGTAGTGTCGGTGCGTAGAAACAGTGTCGGGTCAGCAGAGGAAAGAGCAAACACAAGAGCCGCAAGCGTAGTCCTCAGTGTGTCGTGCCACTCTCGAGGCGCCTGGCGGAGACCGTAGACTGGCCGCCGGAGGCTCCACTGGGTATACGCAGGAAACGACCCAGTGAAGCCAGGTGGGCGGCGCAGCCAGATCTCCTCGTGAAGGCTGCCATGCAAGAAAGTTGTGGAGAATTCGAGGGAGTGCAGCTCGTAGTCACGCTGTGCTGCAACGTGCAGCAGCACCCGAAGAGTAGTCATCTTCGGGGTGGGGGAGAAGGTCTGGAAGAAGTCGACCCCCTGTCGCTGTCTGAAGCCTCGAGCAACGTAACGCACCTTGAAGGCAGGCGGAGAACCCGGCGGCCGCTTCACTAAGAAAATCCACATGCCATCGACTATGTTCGCCCCAGGAGGAGGAACCTCGTCGACGTAGGTGCCTGTGGACTTCCAGGAAGCCATCTCTGCGTCCATGGCCGTCTGCCACTGAGAGGAGTACTCACCCGCGATCGCCTCAGCGTAAGAGTGTGGGGTAGGGATGTCAAGTGCATCCGGGTCTCCATCAGGGCAAAGCAGCATGGATGCGAAACGAGGTAAAGCGACCGCAAGACATTCACGCTCAAACTGTCTGTCCTCAAGTACGTCACTGCCAAGGGCAAGCTCACCCTCGACGGACGGAGGACAGACAGACTCAGACTCAGTGACAAGACTCGTGACGTAGTTGAGACAACTCGTAGCTGCAAAGTCCACCAGCTCAGTGACTAGGGCAAACGCTGCAGTAGACTCAAGGTCAGGGTCAGTAACGACAGAAGCGAGGAGACGAGTGACAGTAGGACTGGCAGCACGAGCAAGGTCGGACTCAGGGTCAGGAACATGCGGAAGAGAGGACGCGGGAGGCTCAAGCGGGACAACACGCTGTTGAACAGAGGAAGGACGAAGTGCCATACCGTGAGTGCCTGGGACAGCAGGAGGACGAGGACGGGCAAGACAATGAGCACGAACAGGTGTGGAATGTCAGAATCCCAACCACTAGACCATTGGGATAAAAGGGCTTGTTAAGTAGCGGGTCAGTGCGCCCATAACCCCCCAGGACAACGAGCCTGTAACCCTTCCCTAGGATCAATCGGGGATCACCAGTGGACCTCTGACACCCCCCCGCACTGGGATGCCCGAAGTGCACACACTGGGATTCGAACCCGAGACCTTTGCTCTGATGCCATGTCAGAATCCCAACCACTAGACCATTGGGATAAAAGGGCTTGTTAAGTAGCGGGTCAGTGCGCCCATAACCCCCCAGGACAACGAGCCTGTAACCCTTCCCTAGGATCAATCGGGGATCACCAGTGGACCTCTGACATGGAAGCACGAGTCTTAGGCTCACGACGCTCAGTCAGGGACTCAGTCACCTCAGTGTGAGGAGCAGGCACAGGCAGCGGGGAGCCAGGCAGTAGCTGTGGCTGAGAGTGGTCTGTCGGTGGACACAAGAGGGGTAGAGGGAGGCCAGTGGAAGATGGGAGACTAAGAACCTGGCGAAGGACCGAGTCAGGCGGCCGCAGGGACGACTACGGCTGCGGGTAGAAAAATGGTCTGCGCAGGGCAGTATCAGCAGCTCCAACTCCTCCAGCACCAGCAGCACCAGCACCTCCAGTACCAGCAGCTCTAGCAGCACCTCCAGCACCAGCAGCACCACTAGCTCCGGCAGCGCCAGGACCTCTAGCACCAGTAGTTACCTCCAGCACGTCCAGCACCAGCAGCACCACCTGCTCCGGCAGCTCCAGCACCTCTAGTACGAGCACCTCCAGGACCAGCATCTCAAGCACCTCCAGTACCAGCACCTCTAGGACCAGCAGCTCCAGAACCTTCAGTACCTCCACCTCCAGCGCCTCCACCACCAGCAGCACCCCCAGCACCTCCAGCACCAGCTCTACCTCCAGGACTAGTAGGTCCAGCACCTCCAGCACCAGTAGCACCTCTAGGACTAGTAGCTCCAACACCTCCTGCACCAGCAGCACCTCTAGTACCTCCAGCACCAGCACCACCTCCAACACATCCAGCAGTACCTCCAGTACCTCCAGCACTAGCAGTACCTCCTGGACTAGCAGCTCCACCACCAGCATGACCGTACCCTCCACCACCAGGGCTGCCTCACCGAACGATCCACGCACGAATCGCCTGCGACGAGAGCGTCTCAAGTAGGTCAGGCTGCGGTGGCCGTCCAGCTCCAGGACCTCCAGCAGGGTCACCCACAGCTCCACTGCCACTAGGATTCGCAGGACCCCCAGAGTCAGCACCCCTAGTCGCGGCACCCCAAAAACCAGCACCCCTGTCACAACACCCCCAGAACCAGCACCCCTAGTCCCAGCACCCCCAGTCGTAGCACCCTCAGAACCCTCACCCTTTGTCTCAGCACCCCCAGGCTCAGGACCAGCAGTCTCAGCTCCAGAGTCCACAGCAGCAGGCTGCGGAGGCGGCAAAGACGGCTGAGGCGGAAAACCAGGGGGGGTCTCCAAGCGTAGAGAGCGGCGAGTGGCTGCCGTGTCGTCAGCGGCGGGGACACCCCCCTCAGCTGGGCCAGAGGTGTAAGAAGAGATCTCCAAAGGCTCAACCAAGGGGGGTGGGTCTACCTGGGACACGAGGGAGCAGGACCCTGTGGGGGGAGGGGGTCTACCGGGGGGGGGGACTGGTACCAAGAAAAGAGGCGCTAGGGGGACCACATGGGACGCGTGCAGGTGTAGCCTGTAGTAACAAACAGACTCGTCAAAGGTGACGTCCTGGGAGGAGAAGACTCAACGCGAGCGCGGGTGGTAAAACTACCACGGCGGGGTGTCGGTGGGGAAGCCAAGGAAGACACATCGGAGAGTGCGAGAGGAGAGCTTGCTCGTTTTGGCATCGCGAACAAGGGAGAGCGCGCCCCAGACCCGAAACACCGACGCATCGC